AAAGGGTTCCCCTTGCACATAGCAATGAAGAATCCAGATTGGAGAACTGCGGGTGCTGAAGAAGTTTCCGTGCCAGGGAAGGAGGGGGCCTGCCCATCAATGCAGAGCCTGGAGCTGTGTCAGTGCGTGGTTGTTAGGGCCTTGTTCCAGGTCTAAGTCTCTGCAGACAAATCATGATGATCATGGTGCCTTCTCAGTCTTGTGTCCTGTTTCTCAGAGTTTGACGGGAGCAGTGAGGGCTAAATTGCTTACATCTCTGTCCTGTGCATCCTGGATCAGGCTAAATGGCAATGAATACTCAGAACCCCAGTTACTCCATGTCTAGTACCTTGGGTCCTAGAGAGCCTTAGCCAGGTCCCTCCCAGCAGCTTCCCTCTAATACACAAATAGTTTAACTCCGGGAGGATTTGTTCCTGCTCACGCCACCCTCGCTTCTCCATGGGCACCCAGGACAGCTGTTCCCATGTGTGTGGGAGGTTGTGGTGAGTCCACAGCTAGAACCATGGCCCTCGCGTGGACCAGAGCATCAAAGGCAGACCAAGAAACTGGAGGCCTCCATAGCCTTGTCTGAGCAGTTTTCTCTTGCTGCTTCCAGACCAAAAGGATTAGTGAAATGAACAAGTCAGCCCAGATTGAAACCCAGAAGGGAGTCTGTGCACACAGAGACACATCCCAGTTTTCCATTATCCTAAATCCTGCATACATTATAATGAGTTAAGCCAGGAGCCAAATACTGGCTTTAAAGGGAGGGAGGAAGCAGGACAAGGGAGGGAAGGTGGACCCCTCACTCAGCTTCCATTGGTAAGAGGATCATGTGACCCTTGGTGCTAGCACCTTCTGAACACTTAGAAGTTTCTTCAACTAGCTCTTTGTCATGGGCCCAGTGTACTCACTTTTGGGGAGGGGGGACTTATTTTCTATTTTTCTCTTGGAATATTGAAAAAGGAAACTTTTACAATAAATTACATATGTCCTCTTACACTGCTATTCTTGCTGACAAATTCAGTCGCAGACAAAATTACAAAACAGCCTGGTTTAGCTTAACTTTTAACATCCAATGAGACAGAGAGGAGAGGTGCTTTCTCTCTAGTTGGCTCAGCCCCGGTCTCCCTTTGCAAAAGGTGCCTCTGAGCACAAGGCCATGGGCATAAAAATATATGGGACCAGGGAGGCAGTGTCCTGCATCCTGCCCATGACACACACTTCCCCAAGCCCTGAGACCCCCTGGGTGCAAAGCATGTGATGGGAAAAGAGCCCCCTCTGTACACCTTCTCAGTCTTCCTCTCCGGGAACTCCCCTGTGCCTGGGCAGAGTGGGGAACCACACGCAGCCCCGCCCTTTCCCTCCTCCCTCACCCTGGGTCTGGGACAGCTGGGCCACTCTTTCCTTATAGTCTTTTAACTTTTCATGTGCACATCTTAGCTCCTCAAACTCCGCTGTTTCCCTCAGAGTTTGTCCTCGGGCTCAAGACCAAAAATAACATTCTTGAATGAATGATCAAACCCAGAAGTCCCCCTGCACAAGTCCATTAGGAGGAGCTGGGCTCTCAACTATTTCCCCAGGCTAATTGGAACTAGCAAAGCTTTTGAGAAAGTGGCTGTAGAGTTGGATTTGTCTTTATGTTCTATTCTGGACCTTTATATTCTGGGTTAGAATATCTACAAAAAGGCCATTCATAAAATCTCCAAAGACTTGAGATGTACTCACCCCCTCCTTTTTTTAATTTTACATTTTAGTAAGAAAACTTTCAAGCAAATACAAGACAAGAGAGAGCCTCTACCGCCTAGCTTTGGCAAAGTCAGCTCAGGGCTGATCTTGTTCCACTTGTTCTCTATCCATTCATTGCTGCTCCCCCTGCAAGAATTATTTTGCAGCAAACAAAACACATCATGTCATTTTATCCCCCCAACTGCAGGGTGTCTCTGAAAGATAATGCCTCTTGTTTTAAATAACCACCTGCATGCTTTTATCAAGGTGCTCTGATCTTGAAGCTGTGCCTCAAGGCTGCTGAACCCTGGCCAGCCTGCTGTTCTGTCACCATTCCAGGGGCCTCCACACTCTTGCTCATTCCCACCCCTCCCCTATTCCCAGGAGCCTGTTCCCAGGGGCACTGGCCTCTTAGGAGAGCTGCTGCTCTGGAGCTGGATGGGGTAGAATCTGAGCTGCACTGTTTCCTGGCACTTGAGAGGGGTGCTTGACCCTGCCATGTCTCCTTTTCCTCATCTAAAAGTTAATTAATAGTGTGTGCCTCATTGGGTGGTTGTAAGGGTTAACTGTGTCAAAATAATATGAAGTCATGATACAATCACACAATAAAATAATATTCAGCACTAAAAAGAAATGAGCTTTCATGCCACGAAAAGACATGGAGGAAACTTCAGTGCTCATCATTAAAAGGAAGAAGCCCATCTGAAAAGTCTACAAGATGTCACTCCAATTATATGACATTCTGGAAAAGGCAAGACAAGAGAATAAAAAGACCAGTGGCTACCAGAGGCTAAAGGGAAGAAGGGATGAATAGATGGAGCAGAGGCAGGTTTTAAGGTAGCGAAACTACTCTATGTGATGCTATCATTACCCACTGTCCAAATCCACAGAATGTACAATGCCAAGAGTGACATATAATGGGAACTGTGGACTATGGGTGAGGCTGTGTCCATGTAGGTTCATCTGTTCTAAGAAATGCACTGCTCTGGCAGGGGGGTACTTATGGGGGAGGCTGTGCACATGTGGGGTAGGAAGTTTATGGGAACTCTCTGTCCCTTCTGCTCAATTTTGCCATTAACCTAAACCTGCTGTCAAAAATAGTCTCTTACAAAAACAGCATAGTATTGGCACCAAAACAGACTGGCAGACCAATGGTACAGAATAGAGGACACAGAGACAAACCCACATAATTACAATTATATTATATTAGACAAAGGTGCCAAGAATATGCATTGGAGAAAAGATAGCCTCTTCAACAAATGGTGCTGGGAAAACTGGAAATCCATATGCAACAAAATGAAATTAAACCCCTGTCTCTCACCATGCACAAAACTCAACTCAAAGTGGATCAAGGACCTAGGAATTAAACCAGAGACCCTGCATCTAATAGAAGTAAAAGTAGGCCCTAATCTCCATCATGTAGGATTAGGCCCTAACTTCCTTAATAAGACTTCTGTAGCATAAGAATTAAAATCAAGAATCAATAAATGGGATGCACTCAAACTAAAAAGTTTCTTCTCAGTAAAAGAAACAATCTGTAAGGTAAATAGAGAGCCTACATCTTGGGAGCAAATCTTTACCCCTCACACATCAAATAGAGCAGTAATCACTAGGGTATATAAAGAACTCAAAAAACTAGACACCAAAAAAAACAAATAACCCAATCAATAAATGGGCCAAGGACCTGAAAAGACACTTCTCAGAAGATGATATACAATCAATCAACAAACACATGAAAATATGTCCATCATCACTAGCAATTAGAGAAATGCAAATCAAAACCACTCTAAAATTTCATCTCACTCCAGTCAGAATGGCAGCTATTATGAAGACAACCAACAATTAAGTGTTGGCAAGGATGTGGGGAAAAAGGTACACTCATACATTGCTGGTGGGACTGCAAATTGGTGCAGCCAATATGGAAAGCAGTATGGAAATTTCTTAGAAAATTAGGAATAGAACCACCATTGACCCAGCTATCCCTCTCCTCGGTCTATACCCAAAGGACTTAAAAACAGCATACTACAGGGACACAACCACAGCAATATTTATAGCAGCACAATTCACAATAGCTAAACTGTGAAACCAACCTAGATGCCCTTCAATAGATAAGTGAATAAAAAAATGTGGCATTCATACACAATGGAATATTGCTCAGTAATAAAAGAGAATAAAATCATGGCATTTGCAAGTAAATGGATGAGTTAGAGAAGATAATGCTAGGTGAAGTTAGCCAATCCCCAAAAACCAAATGCCAAATATTTTCTTTGATATAAGGAGGCTGATTCACACTGGGATAGGGAGAGGGAGCATGGGAGGAATAGACGAACTCTAGATAGGGCAGAGGGGTTGGAGGGGAAGGGAGGAGGCATGGGGTAATTAATGATGGTTGAACATGATGATCATTATTATCCAAGGTACATGTATGAGGACATGAATTGGTGTGAGTATACTATGTATACAACCAGATATGAAAAATTGAGCTCTAAATATGTAATAAGAGTTGTAATGAATCCTGCTGTTATATATAAATAAAAAAAGACTTAAAGTAAAAAAAAAACTATCTTAAGGAGAATGATATGAAGTGCTTTGAAAAGTGCCTGGCACACAGGAAGTATGATGTGTTTGCTTTTATTCTTCTTTGCTTAGCACAAACACTATTTCTACCAGTGTCACTGAGTCTCTGAATTGACTAACAAACAATGATAATTTCTCCCATATACATTGATGTACTTCCTAAAGTCTTCTCATACACAGTATCAGACACAATCTTGCTATAATCCATGAGGGTGCCAGTCCCAGGGGATTCAGAGATATTAAAATAGAACATCAGGAATGAAAAGATTTGGCTACAATGGCATTGTTTATAATGGGGAGAAATTAGAACCAAACCAAAGGTTGAAGGACACAAGATTGGATAAATCAGATTCACCACATCTATATGTTGCTGTCATCATCAATGACGCCAAAGAACATTTATTGATATAAAAATTGTTCATGCTGAGTCACATGAAAAAGCGAAGTTAGCCAGGTGCAGTGGTGGGTACCTGTAATCCCAGAGGCTCAGGATGCTCAGGCAGGAGGATCGCAAGTTCAAAGCCAGACTCAGCAATTAAACAAGGCCCTAAGCAACTTAGTGAGACCCTGCCTCAAGATAAAAAAATAAAATGAAAAGGGCTGGAGATGTGGCTCAGTTTTAAGCAATTCTGGATTCAATCCCTAGTATGGAAGAAAGGAAGAAAGAAAGAAAGAGAGAAAGAAAGGAAGGAAGGAAGGAAGGAAGGAAGGAAGGAAGGAAGGAAGGAAGGAAGGAAGGAAGGAAGGAAAGATGTAAGGTATGTACTACAGTGTGTGCTTTCTTTTTTCTTTTGGCATAATACACTTGTTTAAAAGAGCAGAAAGATATGCATCAAATACTAATATTTGCTATTTCTGAATGGAGCAAAAAGAAGCCATTTTTCTTCTTCTTTGTGTTTGAATATTCTAAATGGTATATAATGAACATGTATTACTTGGACAATAAGGAGAAGCTACTGTTTAAAAATACCAGAAGTAACTGTACATATAGCATGATTCAATTACATAAAAGATATTGAAAGAGCAAAATGTTAAAGCAGCACAGGAGGAGAGAAGAAACAGGCCACAGGGCCCCGAGAGTGTTGGGCAAGAGGGTGGGGAAGCTCCCAGAACCTGTAGAGGTGGCAGGCTCGCCCTCAGCTATGCCCCGCGGAGGCTGTGCCTCTTCAGATTGTGGTGCAACAGCCATCTCCTGGTTCCAGAAGCCAGTTGTTAGGGAGGAGTGAGCCCCAGAGGCAGATGCGTTTACTAGTGATAGCAGCCCACACGGGACAAATCTCATGGGCCTTCCTAATCTGCTTCCCTGACAAGTGTTCTTAGGACAAAATAAAACAAAACTAGTGGAGGTCGGGGGAGATGCAGTTGGATCTGATGAGCAATCCAAGAGACAGAGAGCAAGGCGGGGGGCCGCTCAAAGGGTTAAAGCTGTGGTGTGAGGTCACAGGCTGGAGGCTGTGTTTCCCCACTGCTCAGGGCTGCATGATCTAAGACACAGCCCCTCCCCTGGTCAGTGCCCGGCTGCTACTAAGAGGCAGACTGACCAAAAGGGTGCATGCAAAGCTCCCGAAGGGGAGCTCCCCACACCTCAGCTGCCAACCACAGTGGGAGTCTCTGGTAGACCTTCCCATTTCTGCCTGTTTGGATTGGATTGTCACAGCAGATGGCTATCATTGTCAGACTTGCTGCTTGCAGATCTTTGGTTAAGAAATAACTCCCAACTCAGCAATGTCACACAGTGGGCAGCCCTGGCCCTGCCCCTGTATATGGGAAAGGAGGCAGACCTGGTCCTAGGTGCAGGGGCAGCTTCTTCTCTGAGAAGCTGTCACTCACAGCCAGCCCTTCCACAGGCCCACATCACCCGGGAGGATATTCCCAGATATGTCCACTGGCCTCAAAGTAAAATGGGCTTTGGGGATTTTTCCTTCCTAGGTAGAATGAGCCCAAAAAAGTATCTGTAGCATACTGCCATTAAAATTTCATGTGTAACTAGAAGAATGAGAAGTTATACTCCATTTATGTATGTTGTACATAAATACATTTATTGCCATGTATAACTCATTAGAACAAAATTTTTTAAAAAGAAAAAAGTTTTATTTCTTAAAAAAAAATAAAAGTTCCTGTGTAGCTCTGACAGCTCCGGAGATCCGGAGATTCCCCACGTGTCTTGAGGAAGTCACTTCCCTGTCTTTGGAGAAGGGGAGTCTGCAGCAGTGACTTCAAGGCAAGAATGTGGAAGTGGTGCTAGTGGGGAAGATGACTCACTCTCACTCGATAGCTGCCTAAGTCTTCCTCTGCAGGTGACCTCAAAAACCCCCAGCACAGGCTTCCACTGGCAGTTATTAGCTTTGGGGATGGATTGAGGCTGACAGTGCACCCCATGGGCCTGGCATGGACCAACGTGTGCAGAAGGAAACATCAGAAAAATAAAACTTGGTCTCAGGGTCTCCAGATCTAGAAGGGATGATGGGGAGCCAGTCAGGCAACGATGCTAAACTCAATGATGTGATACAGGGTGTGAGCAGCCTCACCCCCAAGCAGAACATAAAAACTGAACCCTAAAATGCACTTTGAATGTTCACCCCAGCCAGGGCTGGTGATGAGTGTGCTGCAGGGGTCCTTTGTCGGAGGTTGCAGAAACTGCAGCTCCACTTCCCTGTGTCATGCCTGGGTGTCCTTAGGGGCCTCAACATTGACCTACAAGTGGCAGCAGCTGGGACTTTTATAAATGTCTCTGGTGGTGCTGATGGATGTCCTACACTGAGAACAGTATACAGGAGAGAAGATGCTTACTGGGCCCCAAATTAATTTTAAGAGCACTCAAGCTGTTTCTGGAAGCCTCCAGGTTAATGCTATAGCTCTGCTTCTCATTTGCGGGGGACATTCTCTTTACCGACTGAAGGTTCCTTTCTTTTAAATGTCCAGATCAAGACACATATTTTCTCCCTCTCCTGCCACTGATGTCTCCTACTGCTCTTTCAACACCAAGTCAATGTCATTAAATGAAGGCCAGGATTTACATTTGTGTTTCTTTTCTGTATATGTTGTCATTCCAGAGGGTGTGGCCACCAATACTCATGAGATCCTCTATGGGACTTTAACAAACGTCAACAATCCTGCCACCAGGTAAAGAATCACAAACACCATTAGAGGTGTCTAGTGATTGTCCACGCTCTATTGGAAACCTGACCATTAAGTGAACTCCAGTGAACAGTTTGATAGCTGCTTTGGAGAGCAGGTGAGTCACAGATACTCAGGACCATGACTCGCACCTTACCCTATGCCAATTAGATGTTTGGATTATATTGTTCAAACCTATGTTTATCAACAAAAAGATCACAATCCAAACAGTCACCATTACAAATAGTAATTTGTATAGTGAGTAGTCATTTCAACAAGATAATTTGTGCAATAAACATCATCTTTGGATACAACAATTACACAAAAAGCACAAGTACATCCAAGAAATAGTTCTAACATCCCACACACTAACTCCCACTGGAAGAGTATGACAAACAAAATATGAATTTTCTCTCCATTCATATATCCAGACCCAAAGCTAATAGTTAATATGTGGGCCTTGTTACAAAATTTAGAATTATAAGCTATTTACATTATGCACATGAAGTTGATGGATGACTAATGTGCCAAAAGGTGAATATTTCTACATAGACACCTTCATTCATGGTAGAAATATATGACTGAATCAGTCTTCAGCACAATGGAGGTAAGCACAAAGGCAATACCAATTAATCTACTAATTTTTCCAACTTGCTCATAGAATTAGACTATATTAAAATATGCTTCCTTTATAGATACATTGAGAATTTGTAAATTCTTATGTAGAGATTTCTAACATATTTTCAAATGCGTAAATCAAGTTCCATATCTCCAACACAAAATTAGTATTGCAAAACCTGTCCTAGTAGAAATTTGTCTTTAATGAGTAACTTGAAATGATTTTTAATTCAAATATCGAGGAGCCAAATTAAGCAATCAGGGCATGGCCTTTGCTTACACTGAATTACCGTAGATTATTTATAAACCAAAGGTTACATTTTAAACACTTTAAGTAGTTCATTCCCTTAAGTAGGTAAACAGTACTTGCCTTAGTTTGCTATGGCTCCCTAAATTCAAGCCACAAATTGGTGGCTTAAAAGAAAACCACAATTGATTCTCTTACTGGAGTTCTGGAGGCCAGAGTCTGAGATCAGCTTCCCAGGGCTAAACTCAAGGCGTCCACCTGGATGTTCCTTCCAGGGCTCCAAGGAACCACTGTTGCCTCCCCTTTTCCAGCTTCTAGAGACCACCTGCCTCCCGGTGCTGCCTTCCATCCCTCCATCCACTCACTTCCCTCCTCACATCTGGTTCCCCCTTTACCTTCTCACTTGCTCTTCTAAAGACCCTTGTGATTATTTTAGGCCCCACCCACATCATCCAGGTTAATCCCCCTGCTGAGACCCTTAGTTAAGCCACACCTTCAAGTCTCCCTTACCTTTCATTCCAGGTACTAGGGATTAGGACAAGGACATCATTGGCAGGGAGGAGGATGACATTATTTGGCCTCCTCCAATACTTATGTGATCTTATTCACACTGTGCCTTTATGAATTTCTTTTTTTTTTTTTTTAGAGAAGGTGCAAAAAATAAGTTTCAGAATGGATGGCCATAAATACATGCCACGGTATTGACTAAGGTGCTGGATGGAGGAGGAGGAGGCCGGAGTTTAAGTTCTGCCCCACCGTATCATTAGTGGGAAAAGTGAGTGGACGTTGGCATGTAGAACAATTTTGCATGTAAAGAGATCAAAGAGGTGAGGGAAGAGGAAAGAAAAGAAATACAAAGAATGTATGGGCTTGTGGACCTGAGACGATGAAGAGGAGCATGTGAATTTGCCTCCATCACCAAATACCATGCTGGATGATCTGGCCAAGTCGGTTCCTTGAGTTTCCGTGTTCCCATCTGGGAAATGACGTTTTGAAGTGTATTCCATCTCACTCTAATTACCTACAAATAGTAATCATGTACAAACTGAGGCAGGGTTTGTGGGGTGTCCTGTAAATGGTATGGTGCTCTGCATGTTGAAGGCAGCATCTTACCCAAAAGTACTGAGACCTGGGTGGGAAGGAAAATAACTTCATACAATGTCAAAAACCTGCCTTCTGTGTCAGCCTGGAAAAAAACAGCAATACAGCTAAAAAAGAGATCTTGTAGTAATAATAATAATAATCATCATCATCATCATCATCATCCGATTGCGTCCCTGGATCTCCTCTCCTCCTGTTTTTATCTGCATATCCAATGCAAACGCTCCCTTCTCTAAGACTCCCAGTGAGCTGTGTGTGTCTGTAGCCTGGCCATTGCGAGGACTGCAGTCTGCCAGGGTAGGTTGATCCTCCAACCTGGAATCTCTAGGGGTCTTGTTTCAGTCATTACTCAGATTTCAAACACCATTTCTCATTTCGAAGGAACTGGTTTAGAAATGAGTCATTTGCGGCATTACTGCTTTAGGAACCCTGCATACTCAGGAAGCAGAAGGACCTAAAGCAAGCAGCTTACTCCCTATGGGCACCCAATAATCAAGGCAAAACCCACACCAGAGTGCCACACTCAGGGCTGGGTCAAAAACTAAAGGATTAAAATGGGCCTGTCTCCTCCTCCTTCCCAGGACCCCACCAGGCTCCTTCTCAGGTGTGGAATCCTGTTCTTTATAACAAAACCATTTTCTTCTAAGGGTCAAGTCTCTGTTAGTTTTATTTTCTGGTTTCACTCCAGCTACTCTGTGACAGTTCAAATCCCTGGGCCTTGGTTTCCCCATTAAGAGGTATAGGCTCAGTGGATCACTGACAAGAGGGACTTAGTTCTATGTGCCACCTAGGACAACCCCCTCATGTTGCAGATAAGAAAACTCAGGCCCAGAGAAGGGAAGTGAGATGGTTAGGGCTATGTCTTGGCCTTCATTTGTGTCCCTGTAGGTGCCCAGGTCCACAGTTTCTGTGGACACTTGCTAATTGAGAGCGATGATGGAAGAAACACAGGACTGGGGGATTTTAGTTAGAGGGAAGACAACAAGAATAATCCAGGCTTTGAAGCAAGCCCAGATGGGCAGGTGTGAGAGGGTGGGGGCTCCAGGCAGCCACTTACCAGCTGGGTAACCTTAGAAAAAAATTATTTATTTTTGTTTCTAAAACTCTTTTTCTTTTCAATTTTAAGATGGAACAAGAGAAGAAACAATGAAAACATAAGGATAAGGTGGTAGTAAAGCACAAATATACTTGGCATTGCTGCCACTTTGGAGGCCAAAAGCAACGTAAGCTCTGGGGGCTCTGGTGGAGAGGGCCTGAGGCTTGCACACCCTCCGCCAGCCTGAAAGCCCCGCCCCATCACCAAGGCAACACAGGCTCTCCTGGCTTCCACACTTATCCCCTGCAGCTGGTTACCATTCTAGAAAACTCAGAGGCGGTAGTCTGTGTCAAGTTGACCTGGCTTCACCTGTGTGCCTCTAGGGGTGACCTCCCTGGCACCTCCCCATCCCACGAGTTCACACTGCCCTGCAGCTGGTTCCTCCGAGCCTGTGGCTTGCTACAAACTCCAGGAAGATGCTCGGGGGACCTGGAGGCACACCAAGCTGGGCCTTGGAGATAAGAAGGGCTGTGCCAACAGCTGGGTGGGCCACTCTGCAGGGTGGAACCTGTGTGGGCCTCCAAGCTGAGGAATGTTAACAGAGCTGTTGGGGAGATGCCCCTGTCACCCCTGGAAGAAAATAATGGCAGGCAGAGAGGTGGCTTGCAAGGTACTTTGAGGAAATCTCACCTCAGGCAACAACCGAGGAATTAATGTCTAGGTCATCTCAGAAAATGTTTTCTGGCAGTGTGGCCTTGGCTGACAGGTACAGTTTGGCAGGTAGTTCTTCCAGTTCCTGAAGCAGGTCCTCTGCCAGGTGTCAACGCTGTGAATTATCTCAGCTCTCGTGAACCTCTGTTTGCCCTTGCAAAAGTGTGAACTGATAATGAAGCAGTGAGATTGTCAAACCATCATCCATCACCATTTTAACAGCGGCAGAATAAAGAGGGAAACTGGTGAGAGGAAGTAACGTGGCTCTGGAGTGCAGAAGGTTTGGCCGTGGCTTCCAGTGATATCCTGCCTTGGATAGGCGCGATATTTTTCCAGGTGTCCTCATCTATGAAATGAGAATGTCAATCTTGCTTGTTCTCTTTGTTCATGGTGAAGTTCAAGTAAGAGTCCTGTCAGTACAGGTGCTTGGTGAACTGTAAATGCTGTCCACCAGGAGGACGCTGTCATTGCCACTGTCTCTCCTTGCAGTTTCCTTTGGAGAGTTTTGAAGTTGGCAGGGAGGTTCTCAGTGGTGACTTGCATGCTGGTGCCCCATGCTGCCTTTCGGGGGTAGGCGTGCCCTGCAGTCTCTGTCCAGGGCAGCTTTTCCTAATTAACAGGAGGTGCATGCTTGGTGACCGCCAGGAATCCTCCCAGTGGATAGAAATCAACCTCTCCCTCAGATCAGAGCAGGCCAGTGGCAATTGGTGCTTAGGAGGCAGGGAGGTGAAACCTCAGTGGTCCAGTCCTGTGCCCTCTTCCCACCTGGATGGCCTTAGTTTCAGGATCCTGAGCCAGGAGCACAATAAGACAGTGACTCTGCTGGTGAGGGTGGCAGAAGACACAGGTGTGTGCTGAGGCCAGAAGGAAGAGAACGCAGGAGGAAAGTGGCTCACTCTTGCCTCCACAGACTCTGGGTGGACACTGCAGTGGGCAAGGAAGAGAAGAAGACCAGGAAGGACAGCAGGGAGCATGAGCAGGCCAAGAGGGAAAAGGAGCCGGAACGGGGGAGGATCCAGCAGAGTGAGAGATCCCTGGGAAGGTGGGAAGGAGGCGAGTTTCCCAGGAGATTGTAGAAGGAAGCCTCTAGTCAGGTCCTTTTACCTTCTGGGTTTTTCTTAACCAAAGACTGGAGTGTGAAGCAATTGAAGGGCTCTGGGCTCCGCGGCAGGGAGGCAACTGCCAGTTCTGATGCCCTCAAAGAAGCTGGGCCGGGGTCTGGTCTGACGGTGTATCATCTTGAAGCCTAACTCAGAGGACTGAGGGAGGGGAGGAGACTCCTGGATTCCTCTGCTCTGTGGCTCCCTGATGGCTGACCTAGGACACCCTAGGACAGGGAAAGCTCCCAGCTCTCAGGCATGCACTTGCCACATGGGACTCTACCATCAGGCAGCAGATCATACAACCCATTCCAACAACTTAACAGCAAAATTTTCTTCTCTAAGAAATGTTTACAGTCTTTCTTCCAGGACTTAAAGAAATGTCTAGACCTTGTTTCTCCCACTGTCTGACCCTATGAAGAGTTCAGGGGAATTCACTGCAGCCAGTTGACCTTGACTGAGCACATCCTACCCGCCGGGCAATGCCCCAGGTGCTAGAGATTGGACAGTGAATGCCATCTACTCCTGGCCTAAGGAGCTCTTGATCTAGTGAGAGAAGATATGATGCCATCAATGTTACAGACGATGACACAAACTATAGAATTCTGATGCCATAAAATGTTCCTTTGTTCTTTTTTGACTCATTTATTCAGAAAATCTTAGTTACTGAGTCCTCAGGATGTTCTGGGCATTGTACAAGGTGCTGATACCAGGACTGTGGGACATACTCTGCCCCACCATTGACACAATGACAAATATATGGAATCCATGAGGGGTTTATATTTTGGGTGTGCTCTGGAATCTTACTACTTTAATCTCTGTGCCTTCATTTCCATCACTTAAATGCCATCCAGTGGGGTGAGGAGCATCTCTGGTGTGTGTCTGTGTTACAGATGTGTGGGTGTCTGTGATATAGACGTACATACACACACACACACACACACACACACTACTGACACTGCTGCCCTAGATCTCAGAATACTGGAAAAGAGGGATGGAGAGTGATGTAAGAAAAGAAAGCCACAGACAGATTAAATAGGCTGGTACATGCAGGTGAAGGGGACAGTATCATAGTTCAGAAGACAGGCTGAATATTCAACCTAGCTCAACACAGTGGTTAAGGACTTGGGGAGGATCAACTGGATCAGCCATTCATTAGCACTATACTCATGAGGAAATTACTTGATCTTCATATCTGAGCTTCCTCCTCTGTAAAAAGAGAATAACCGTGCCTGTCTCACACCTGCTGTGGGAAGATTCACTGCAGAAATCTATGGAATACTACTGGCCTGACATTATCATCCATCATCACTATCAAAGTGGCACTGACCAAAGCACCCATTGGGAGGGATATGAGAAGGTGGCAAAGACTTGAACTTGATGTTGGGTGGGGGCAGCCTGGGGCAGATGGAATGGGTCCAAGTGCCCTTCTGTCTCTGAGATCTCAGGCAGCCCTGGGGGTGACCCACACCCAGAGCTAGGCTTTCAGAGTCCAGACTGCATCTGCCTGAGAAGCAGTGTGTTCTATCTGAGGAGGGTGGCATGGGGTGGGGAGCCCCTGCTCCTAGGGTGGAGCCCTGTGGTCCTTGAATAAGGACAGCAGCTTATCAGTTCTGTCTCCACCCAACCCCAGGGGGCTTTCCAGAGAGAGATAAGCTCAACTCATTACCTCCCTCACAGAGAGCAACTAGTTTGCATTTTCAATTAATTGTACATTTTAATAAGTGAGTATATTTGAAAGGATAGAAAAGTAAAAAGAACATTTTACAATTGCCCTAAGTCTCACCACTTGGAATAATCACCCTTCTGCATTCCAGATTTTTCATGTATTATTTTTTATGTGTTTAAAATAACATAGTTGCATTCAGAGTATAATATTATTCTCGCCTAACAACACTTCATAAGCTTTCTTTATTGTAACAGCTTTTATATACTCATTTTTAAAAGTCTCCTTTTGATTTTAACTAGGTGATGTGTTCTTTAATAAGTCCTATATTTTAAAAATGTTTCCAATTTCATATTATTATAAATGACATCACATGAACATCTTTGTATTACAGCATTCTGTGACTTCAAGCATTTCCTTAGAGTCAATCCCCAAGATGGAATTCCTATAAAGGGTATAAATATTTATAAGGCAAATAATTTTTAATACCATTTCAGACATCTCAAAATATTTTCCAGTTTCCTTCCCACATTATTTGTAATTCATTTTCATTGTAAAAAAATGTTAAAACAGAGACAACACAAAGAATGGAAAAAATGATTAATAATCCTACCCCCAAAATAACCATTTTGACCCTTTCATATAAAATCATCCCTTGGTTTCCAGGGAATTTGGTTCCAGGACACTCTTTCTTCCCTGCAGATCCTCAAATCTACAGATACTCAAGTCCCTTCTATAAAATATAATCTAGGCACATTTTCCTGTGTACTCAAATCATAAAACTATACTTCGTATAATATGTAATATGAGGTAAAACTATGTAAACAGTTGTTAAACTGTATTATTTAAGGAATAATAAGAAAAAGTCCACATGTTCATTACAGATGCGATTTTTCCCCCCTAAACATTTTCCATTCAAGGTTTGGTTGAATCCACAGATATGGAATACATATGTTTAATATGTAAAATTTGTATTTCTTGCTTATTTTAACTTATTTTTTCCACACCTTTAAGAATTCTTTTTAAACACAATTTGTAATTACTCCAAAACATCCCACTGTGTGTAGATCGTTATGTCTCTCTTATTGGTTGTTTTGGGGATTTCTTGCCCAGTTTTCCACTGTTATACACAACACTAAAGCGAATGCTAAGAAGCCTCTATATTCGTGCGGAGGACCCACCTCAGTGAGTTGGAGAATTAGAAGACAGTCTTCTGAGAAGGCTGTGGGGAGCTGGTGCCCTGAGGGAGAGCCAGATTTTACCCCACGGTGGGAGGTGCACGTATCCAGGCAAGAGCTTGAGAATGGAGAAAGTGCTGATCACTGCAAAGTGCTCCAACAGGGCACAGTGAAGGGTTCCCCAAACAGGGGAGGGAGGAGAGGTCCGGTCACACTGGGGGCTATATTAGGACCTCTCAGGTCCAAATGTCAGAAATTCAACCCAAACTAGACTAAGCAAAAGAAAGAATCCGCTTGCTCGTGTAACCGGAAGTCCAGGGCTCTGCGGTCTTCAGTCCTGATGGGGTATGGTCCCCAGAGCTCTCCTTGGCCTCTGCTCCGCCGACCTCTGTTCTCAGCAGCCTCACCCCACCCAGCGCAGACAGTGCCCAGCAGCCCCAGGCGGATGTGGTCCTCAGTGTCTGCCAGCCTGAACCAGCCTGAACCAGCCACTGTGGTCATTGTGGATACGTCTCTAAGTGATCACCCTTGGAGGGTAGAACCCACAAGAACCACATGTGGGCAAGGAGGGAGAGAAGGGGTCCCTCAAAGGAAAACTGCTTTGCTGTCCTCAGGAGGAGGGCAGAGTACAGGACAGGCAGAATAACCAGGTGTCCTCAGCAGGTACACAGAGCAGGACCAGATGAGGGGCAGAGTGATGCTGAGTCACCCCAAGGACTGGGTTTGTACTCATAGTGGCCACTGAGGAAAACAGAGCGATGTGGCATGATGGGACCTGGCATTGCCAGCTTCTTGGGGGAAGGGGCCGTTGTCTTTTTAGCCCAGGGAGCACCCTAGAGAGTCTTGGCCAGCGCGCCATCTAGCGCCGTGTCGCAGTGTAGCAGGGAAACTGCCTCCCAAGACAGCCCCAAACTCCTTGGGTTCCAGAACCTTCCTCGGTGGTTAAAAAGAGGTGAGGAGTCATCTGACATAGGTTGAAGGTAAGAGGGAAGATCGGGTAGAAAAAGTTAAGAGGTGAGAACAGGTGTTGGCGATTTGAAGAAAAAGTGATGAAACAGTCTGCATTTCTCCATGTAAGAACAAGCACCCATGAGTGGAAACCAGAGGCAATTTGGGGGTTAATAATTTCACTTACAGGGCTCTCTAATGAAGAAGTGGGCCTTTTCCTAGGTAGTGAGTTCCCTGTCCCTAAAAGTGCTTAGGCAGTGATTTGGATACCTCTCCTAAGATGTTCTATAAAGACTCCTATGTTGGGGATGGATTCAGCCCAAACTATTTTAGACTCTAGATTTAAATTCTCTGCCTTTATTCTGTCCTGAAGAAGAAAGAAATCATCTGCCAAGTGGTGCAGTAGCTAAACAACATCTTCAGTGTCCTCTGTTTCCCTTTTCTGGCTCCCTCTTTCTGTCTCCAGGCACCCACCCACCTGCACCCTGAGCCTGGTATTCTGATACCCACAAGGCACCCAAGACTGCCTTCCAGACCCAGTGTCTCTGCCGCAAAGTTGGTCCTCTCCTTCCCCAGTTTCCACTATCTACAAAAGCCTGGATGTAAACTCACACCCTGAAGGTCGGAATTTAAAACATGGAGCCGTGCTTGAGTGTAAAGAGTCGGTATCATACATCTTCAGGGCTTTTCTAGCACTAGCTTCTGTGTTCATTCTTAACCGTGTTTTAATTAATCTCATCTCCTCCAGATTATTAGAACCCAAGGGCAGTTTGTTTTATAAAATAACTTTCTGAATCTTC